GGGGGCCTCCTGCGGCTGGCACGGGGCAGGAGGGACTTGGGGACCTGGCTTGGCTCCAGTAAGAGCCTCAGCAAACCCGGCTGGAAGAAACACCTCCTCTGAAGCTGTGCTTTGGGTTTTTCCTTCATCAGGGGCCTTAAATCATTGCCTTGGAAAGGAGCATTGCTTTCAAAGACCTGTCTTCCAGGAATGGCTCCCTCAGCCCTTCTGGATGAGTGCCAAGATATTTGCACTGTGTTTAAGGACAAATAGGAAATAATTCAAGGTCCCTTTTCCCCCTTCCCAGCTTAGTCCTGCTGCCACCAGCTGCAGATAAGCTCTCAGCTGCAGTCCTGAGAAGCAGAGCTGGACACCCCAAAGCTTCCCCAGGCTCTCAAGCCTTCCTGGGGGCCAGGCACTGAGCAGGCAGGAGACAGGCAAGGCAGGCAGGTCTGTGGGCCCATCGCTGCAATGAGCCTTTCTCAGTGCGAGGCTGGTGGGTGTTGCAGCGTCTCCAGTGTCTCTGCCGAGCAGATCCCCAAGTGTAAGGCCAGGAGAGTCAATGGCCTTTTATGAGCCAGCAGGAAAGGGGAAGAGAAAATGTCTTTACCTTATGCAGTAGAAGAAATTAGAGGAGATCTTGACTCAGGTGCTGGGACTCTTACTTTAGCTCTATTATCTATAACTATCCATCCACCCATCTGCCTAGTCTTCTGTCTGTCTGTCCGTCCATCCATCCATCCATCCATCCATTTCCACAGCCATTCGAACAGCCAACCATCCACCCAACCCCACTGCTGATCATTCATCGTTCCATCGCTCCCTCCACTGACCCACCCATCCGTCCACCCATCCCTCCATCCAGATACGCCGCCAGCCAGCCAGCTGCTTATACTCCTATCCCTCCATCCTCTTACACGTCTCTGCATCCCCATGTATGCTCATCCATCCATCCACTTGCATAGTCATCCATCCTGTCAATTTCGTACACTTCCCTCCATCCCATCTGTGCCCATTCAGCCAGCTGTCCGTCTGCAAACACACGCATTCATTCCTCTGTCCACCCATCCATTTTCTTCCATGCTTCTGCCTATCTGCCTGTTTATCTGGGCCCATTCCAGCTACCCCTCCTCACACAGACGCCTCAGGTTAGATGTTCTCCCCTCTTTCTGCCTGTCAGTATATGCTCTACGCTTTTTTAAGACACTTGAAACACACTTGTCTGGTCAGCACAGTTTCTCAAAGGTCCCCACTCTTGACTAGTGTCAGGTGATTCTGAGGCATCTCACCAGCATCTTACTCGCTACAACCCAATTTTTCCTCGTCTGTTCTTAGCAACCCCTTTCCCAGCAGGGATAGCACCCCCAAAGGTGCTTCTTCCCTATCTGAAGTAGGTGTCCTGACACAGCGTCTGCAGGAGGACTCAGACCCAGCTTCGCCCTGGGGCTCTCTCCTTTGCAGATGGGCTCAGGCTGGGGGCTTTCACACAAGGAATGGCTGGATCATGCCCATGTGGTCCCACCTATCAACAGGACCCAGGAGCTGATGTCTAGAGAGGGAGAGAAGAGCAGGACAAGCATGAGGGGTGCTTCTCCCGTCCCTCCCCACCACCAGCTCCCTTCAGCCTCCCCGGGCTCACCAGGCAGCTCAGTGTTTTACCGCCCTGGGTGGTGTCTTCTGCTGTGGATTCATTTAATCACTATTTTCCCCAAAATGTTGACATCCACAGCATCTGATGGACATGAGTTTCTGTAACTTAATCACACTTCGTGTGAAAAAGCACTTTCTTTTGCTTGTTTTCATTTGCTGCCTCTTAATTATTTTATTAGGAGAAGGAGCAAGCCGTCCTTCTCTATTCATCCTCTCCATGTCACTCATCATTGCTTAGGTGTCTGTCATGTCTCAGCTCAGTTGTCTCCTTTTATGGATGACGGGATCGAGTCTGTTAAGCCATTCTTACACAACGGCTGTTTCCAGCCTTTGCTCTTCCCCATTTTCTCCCTCTGCTCCATTTTCAGCTGAACTGTACTCCTAATGGCACGGGGGCAGATTTGTGTGTGGCTTTTAGGGTACAGTGCTTTCCATTTTCTCCTCCATCCCTCTCTGAATAACCCCTAGTGTTGAGTTTGCATTTTCAGTCGCCACTGAGCTGATGTTTTCAGGGAAGTGAGCACAGTACCTCCAAGATATGTTTCCATGGAGGCTGCAGCTCATTTGGAGCTGTGAGTGGTAGGGGAAGCAAGGCTTGATTTTCCTTATGTGCATCCCTGTGCATTTATTGACGCCGTGTTATCACCTGGTGGGTCTGTACCGTGATGTCCTCCTGCAATGCTCTCGCACCCAGCTGTAATTTGGCTGCCCTGACAGCCTCAGCAGCACGCTGTCTCCTCTCACTGCCTCGACCCCCTTTTCTCTGTGAGTTATGAGGGTGTTGGGCAGCTCTGATCCAGCTCTGATCTCTGTCGAACTTTGCCAGTGATGTCTTCTACTGCCACGTCTCACCGCTTGTTCTCACCTTTGGTCTCCTGACCTTTCGCTGCTATAAATCCTTGCAAGGACTTTCCTCATGTATCAGGGCTGCTTGGTTTCCTTGGGAGACACCTTGTCAAATGTGTTTTTGAAACCCAGGAGTATTTTGAGAACCGAACAGCCCTTGTCTGTGCACAAAGGCTTGATGAAGCCTTGAAGGAACCTCATCCTCTGCTCATCCCCCTGTCTTGCTTCACCCGGTGTCATGCATACACACACATGCTTTTATCCTTGCCACACACAGCTCAGCACAGCCAGTGTAGCAACACGGGAAAGATTCAATTGCTAAGGATCATTAATGAATGTCAGCTTGAGCTCCTGTCCAGAAACCTGAGAAAATTCAATTAGGCAGCTGGTGCCCAATGAGCTGTATTGGCCCACTCGCAAGATGCTAAATCAAACAGCTCAGCAAGGCATCATGTTATTGTGGAGAGGGAAGAAAAGCCAGCCAGGGAGACAAACAGCATAGCATGCACCAAGCAGCTGCCCCTTTCCAAAGCATGGCACAGGTAGGTTGCAGTCCTCCCACCTCATTTCCTAGGCAGGGAATTGCAAGGACAGCTGCCTCCTTCCCATCTCTGCTAGTAAATAACTTGAGTTTGCTGGTGACAAGTCCTGGGGCTCTGTCACCTGTCTGCTGTGAATTTCTGATGTGTGCATTTGGTTTGCATCCTGCAACAAGCCACGTAGATACAAGAGTGGCAATGACTTGCTGGTGTGAGCGCCTGCCTGTGCTGTGAGGCATTTGGCTGGTGCAGCCCTGAGTCTCCTCTAAGGTAAAGGTCAGAGGAAAGCATCTTGTGAGACAGGTGGTCCATGAGTACTGATCCCCTGGTCCTTGCCAGCTGATTCACTCTGGTCTAAAGTTAAAATAAATCATTATCAGAGCCAGGAGGAGAACTTGGGCCTCCCTGCCCACCCATACAGTGTCAGTCCATGCCCCAGTCCTTCCCTCGATTCCTGTACAAGTGATGCTAAGATGCTGTTTCCAAGGCAGCCCTGCCCATGGCGCTCCGAGCTCATCTGGTTTTCTCCTCTTCCTCCTCACAGACAGCCACATCCAGTATGAGCGGGTAGGTGCAGATGTGACCATGAAGTGTGGCTCCATGGACTGGGACGCAGCTGTGACCTGGACAGCCAACGGCACCGACATCGATGAGTCCCACCTGAACGGGTCCTACCTGATCCTGAAGAATGTCGACCTGACACAAAGCGGCCAGTACTCCTGCTACGAGGGCTCCTCCTGGCACCTCAAATACCAGACCTACCTGAGGGTGGGAAGTGAGTACCCTGACGTGTGACAGCGCGGGGGACAGAGCCATGCTCTCTGCTCCCATATTGACCCCTCACGTGGGAAGTGAGTACCCTGACGTGTGACAGCGCGGGGGACAGAGCCTTCCTCTCTGCTCCCATATTGACCCCTCACAGCCCCCTCCTGCCATACCAACCCCTGTACTGTCCATGCGTACAGTTGCCTGCTGCACCCCACCATACGAGCTCCCCACGGTGCTGGAATTAGCCCCTCCTGCTCCAAACTTTGCATCAAAGCCGTTAGATTAAATGATGCCCCAGGAATAATTTGGGAAGGGATGTTGTTTCTCCATTCAGCCCAGTACCACAACCACCATCTCTGCAGGTGGGAAGCATTGGGGCTGAGCTGTCAGAGGGGATTGCAGCTAGGAAGGAGAAGTCCTGGCTGGGCTTACTGCAACGTGGTTGTTTCAGAGGAGCAGCCAAAAGGTGGTAGCAGTTGCTGTGTGTTTGCAGGAGCCCCTGTGTACAGGCATGTTGGAGGACAGCTGCACGTTTCCCGGATTTTGCATATCTTAAATGCAAGATGCGCTGATTCACAGGTCTCAGCGCAGGAGATAAGAGTTGTGCTATATTTCACACAACGCTGAGAGCTGATAGCAGCTGTGTGTTTGGTGGGCTGCTGTGTTTGTACAGCTGATAGCAACTGTGTGTTTCACAGTATGGTGTCTGCAACCGGCAGCGGTGGGTGTCTGGGAGCACCAGCCGGCATAGCTGGCTGTGGGATGGTAACTGCTGCAGAGGATGCTGCGAGGCACCAGCTGGGAGCCCCGCCAGCTGGGGATGCATCGTGTAGGTGGCCGTACATTCCCGGGTTTGGAGGACATGGCAGAGCCTTTCTCTGCTCCTTGTCTCACCTTCTGCACCTCGCATCAGGGCCAGAGTGGCGTTTCCATCCTAGACCGTGGTCCAGTGGCAAAGGGTCGCAGGAGGACCAGCCATGGTCTGTGTAAGTCCGGCAAATCAGGCGGGGGGGGTTCACTGCATCCATAGGTAAAACTGAAGAAATCCACATTTCAGGGTTGCTGCACCGTGTCCAACTCATGGTTTAGGGTCTTCTGGGAGGGAGCCTGACACGAGGGCCAAGGGGAGGGGATGCTGGAAGAAGCTGAAAGGCAACACGAGAAGCAGGCGAGGGGGGAGCAGTTGGCGTAGGGCAGGGGATACGGCAGTGAGTAGGTTTAGGGGCTGGGAGCAAAGCAGACAAAAAGGCAGTGGCAGATGAGTCAGGGGCCTCTCAGCCACACTGTCAGGGTGAGGAGGTGCTCGGGGGTAGTTCGGAGGCAGGGAAGGCAGGAGCTGGGTGCAGCACAGGCAGCAGCAGGAGGAGGCTGTGCGGCTCCTCTGCTTGGGCACCTGCTTGCCCGATCACACCTGGGGAGAGGTCCCAGGCCATGCCAGTGCACGGGGGCTGCAGCCCAGGTCTGGAGGAAACGAGGGGACTGGGGAGAGGGCTGCAGCCTCCAACCGCCTCCTCTGCAGCTGTGGCATTGCCGTGACTTCGGAATGGCTCTTCCATCTGCTAAGCACCTCACTAATAGTAATCCCTGTCAATCCGCTCAGGGACCCGTGGGAATTGCTCAGCGTTAGAGCCCAAATCCTGCTGTTTCCTATTACCGTGTGTTCCCATTTGCTGGCGGCTCACAGCCCCCACGAGCACCAGACAGCTGAGGAGCCCAGTCAGACACCGCAGGGGCCACCAGCCCCAGGAGAGGGGGTGACAAATAAATAAGCGAATGCCCAGTGTTGTTAATGCAATTAAGTATGCAAGGAACTAATCAGGTGAGATGCTTTTAGTGGTAATTAATTTAATTGCCTGGATTTTAATTTAATGTTCTCCGCGAGGTTTCTTTTCCCTGTGCTGCCACCCCCAGCCCCTGCCTGCAACCTCCCCAACTTTCTTACCTTTGCGGGGTGTGATTGATTCCCTGGAGGTGTGCAGGCTGCTGTGGGTTTGGGAGCATCCAAGGAGGGGATAGGGATGGAGATGGAGATGGGCACGGTGGTGAAGGTGGGGATGGAGATGGGTGGCTTGCAGGAGGTTTGCATCATGGCCTTATGGCAGCATCCCTGCTGCAGCTGAGTGCAATTGGAGCCCTCATCTGGGATCTGAGGGGTCCCAAGCCTGGGATTTTGGGCACCCAAACCTGGGATTTGAGGGATCTTTGACTCATTTAATTTCAATTGGATGGAAAGTTAAATGAAAACAGGCCTGTTCCTGCCTTTTCCTGTCTTACGGGGGCAACAAAAAAGGTGACAGCAGCGGGAGTGAGGGTCTGGGGGCTGCACAGGTCTGGGGATCTTGTTAAATAAATGACAGTATGTGGAGCTTGCCCCCCAAGCGAGGCAGGGGCACTCCCGGGCAGACAATGCCGCAGGAAGGATGTGGGGAGGGAGTGGAGCAACAGCAAGGACCAGGAAAGGTTGTCAATTAGCACAGCAAGCTCCATCATGGGGGTCAGCAAGCGCAGGGATGAAGGGAGACCTGCCAGGAGTCAAGCTGAGCAAGACCTTGCAGAGGAAATGAAAAGAGGGGGTAGCTGTATAAATACGGAGCAAACAAGGAGAGAATAGCAGAGCTGGCTATGCAGCCAGGTTTCAGTGAGATTAAAGGTAAGCTCGGCAGAGCCTGGTACCGAATGAACCCCACCGGGTCTAAGTGGCGATGCTGAGAACGAGGGCAGCACAGGCTGGGGGAGAGGAAGGAGGATAAAACCTGGAGACAGTCCTCTGCCATGGAGGCACCTTCAAAGAAAATGATGCACCGAAGGCTTTGGGAGCACCTCATCCCCAGGTGAGGACATCTCCTGTTCATTAGCAAGGCTTGTTAGCAGCTGAGAGGTTATTGGTGGCACCCAGTGCCGTGGGGAGAGGCGACACGTCTCCTGTGCTTGAGAGAAGGAAAAATCCTGATCAGACAGCCTGACCTCACAGCACAGCAGGGTCATGGGGCGTGCTTGGAAGAGGGAGCAATTAAAGACGTGGAGACAAATGGAAAATGGGAGAAAAATATAAGGAAGACTTGCCAGGGATATATCGCACCAGATTAACCTGATAGCTCACTTTGATAAGGGAACTGATTTCCTAAGCCCAGAAATGTGGTCGATGTAATCTGTCTTGACTTCAGTGAAGTATTTGCTATGATGCCACATGGGAAATTATGAGTTAAACCAGAGAAAATGTGGATTAGTACTAGAGTTGGATCATGGCTTAGGAAATGGCTAAAGGGGATCAGATTGTGCTGAAAGGGGAGCTGCTGGGAGGGATGGGGGAGCTTCAGCATCAGCCTTCAGACGGCTCTCAGGAGTGTTTCCTGTAATGGCTCCGGCCCAGAAGGAGCAGGGCGCTCCCATGGGACATGCCAGTGGCTGCAGAGGGACCCCAGGATTTCTGGGGATGTCATGCTGGAGGGGCCAGGATGCTGCATAAAGAGGCATAAAGAAATTGTCTCATCAATGAGCTTCAGCAGATGGGCAGGAGGACATGGGTAGCTCAGCGGGTCCTTGGGGTGGGGTTTGACCCCCAGGTCCACATCATGGGGGACACATCCAGGAGTCCAGTAGCACCCAGGGGAGCGCAGATGGCTGGGGCTAAAGTGGGCTGTCTTGTCCCCTGCAGAGATGGGGACACCAGTGCACGTGCAGTGAGGGCAGCATGCATCCAGGGATGGGGTGACCAGGGATGGAGAGCCCACCTTGGGGAGGAGGAAGGGCCCACAGGCTTGCTTATCCCTAAGGGTCCCAGATCACCCATTTCCCACCACCATTCATTAATCACCCTGAGCACAAACCAGTCCAGGGGAAGGTGGCACTTCTCCAGGGCAGCCTCTTCCAGGGGACTTCAAGCAGCAACATGTTACTCTGCCTGCTTTTTTCAGGCAGCTGAGCATAGGGTGAAGCACAGGGAGAGCAACCGGGATGCTCTGTGTTTATCTGCAGTGGATCATCTGCTCTGCAGCCTGGAGAGCGGTGGTTGCCCCAGGGTGGCCAGAAGCAGCAGGCGATGGGGTCAGGGCTTTTTGCATGCTGGGCATCCTGGAGCTGAGCCTAGGGATGAGCATCGGGAGCAGGCAGGAGGGAGGGGAAGGCTGTGGGTACCAGGAGCACGGCACCGGGCTCCCGGCTGCCCCCATGAGCCACAGCTCTGCGTTTGGAAACACGCGGCTGGAGGGCCCAGGGATGGATATAACAAAGACGTTGGGAAATAATGCGCTCTTGAGGTTTGGCACACAGCACTGTGCATTACAGAATGTTATAAAAATACTGCTAATGGGCCAGAGAGGAGTGGAAATGCGCGGCGGAAAGGCTGCCAGAAGCTGGAGAGCGCACATGGGAGCGGGGAGGCCTTGTATGCAAAGAGGGGAGGGAGGGAGGCAGCCAGGGTGGGCGTCTGTCCTTCCGCTCCCATCCCTCTGTCCCTTTCTAACCTGCTTATCTCCATCCTGACCCAGCAACTCTGCCTGTTTGCCCCTCTGCCCGGCTTTGGGGATGCCCAAATGATGCCGGCTGCGCTGCTGCCCGCTGCCTAATGGGGCTGCTGCTGGGTGGGCTGGGATGCCCGCAAGGATGGGGTCTTCGTGAAAGAGAAAATACAGCAAAATCTCCTCCAGCAGCAGGGACACAGGTCAGGATGCAGGCAGTGGAGTTGCCCTCCGCATCGCAGTGGTGGCATGGGGGCTTATAGCCCGGTGCCAGCCCCAGCCCTGCCCCGTGGGCATCACTGGCTCCCAGGCGATGGTGGGAAAGGGACTGGCAGAGGGCACATGGCTCTGGGCTGGCCTCCTTTCTCCGTGTCTGTCACTGCAGTGGCTGGCGAGGGAAAGGGGAAAAAACATGCGGTTTGACGGAAAACGACATGGAAAAACAACCAAATTAACAGAAAAACAAACAAAGCAAAACCAGAGAGAGGGAGGGGGGAAGGGGCAAAGCAACAGGAACCACATGTGAGTAGCGAGGCCGGGAGAGCCCGAG